ATAACATGACTTCGTTATCAAGCTTTTTGAATTTTCCTATACTTGTATTTTGATTGGTCATTCTAGCTTTTGTAACAACGTTTTCCCCTTGCGAAGGATCGTTAATTAATTTGAAACTTTTAAAACCATTTATTTTACATTCAACATCATCGGTTGATAAGACACCGGAGGTGTTGAAACAAAATGGCTATTTTTGTAGTGATTTTATAACATATTTATGTTATAATTATTTTAATAAATAATTATATATATATATATATATATATATATATATATATATATATATATATATATATATATTATCATAAATATAATGTGGATATTTATAATGTCTGCATTTTAATTTAACATAGATTTTTAGCTGAAATGTATGCGATTATATTCCTATAGTTCGAAAGTTGTGCTTACTGCTGTCTTAAGTCCGTCATCAGGTTATCCTTTGATTTTGGGGATAAAATGAATTTAAATTTATTTTTAAAAACAGTATTTGTTGGCAAGTTTAGAGGCAAATTAATCTATATTTAATATAGTTTATCGATCACCTTTTTTTCAGAGAACAGTAATACACCCAGCGTCGGTAATGATCGTCAGTTATTTAAACAAAATTGAAGAAAATTCACTTTTAGAAATGGGATATCACTGCAGAATTGTGATCTTGTAAAATTATATTCTTGGTTCTCATTAATTCACTTTTAAATGAAGAAAAAGTAACATCGGCAAAAATTAAATTAATCGAAAATGTGGTTACTGTTCAGTTAGAAGTAAGGTTGGTGAAACATCGAAAAGCGATAATTAGGGGTGAGACAATGAAATCAGAAATGGCTGATCATGTATAAAAGAAAAAGAGTAGTTTTCAACCTCTGTGAAATAAAATGTCTGAAAGAATCATTACATATGCCACGCTATTTCTCTGCTAGGCTCCTTAGTAGATCCAGCATAGAAATAAATACGATAGAGAAGTCATCGATAGATAATCAATGAGAAATGAGAGCAAAACAGCAGCAGCAGTAAAAATTAAATTCTCGGTGAGTGCAGTCAAGCGTGACAAGTAACAGCAACACGCGTGAGTAGGAAGGTTAGGTTTAAGTCTCTCATTTCACTCAGAGTTATCCCACAATAGCCTAATGGATTCACGCGTTGGTTCGTGAATTTGGCGACAATTGCGAATTTAACCTTTAACACTGGAACTTTGTTTACTGAGCAAAAACTTTTGTTCTGCCACTGCAGATGATTTACTAAACAATAGCGTGTTTGAATTTCGCAGTTGTGTTGTCTTGTCCTGCTATGTCAACAAGGAAACGACTTCAACTAAAATCAAGAACTAAGCTACTGCTGTTTAGGAGTTGTCCTATACAGTGGAAATGGAAGTAATATAGATGCTTTTTGCAGAATGCTAAAGCTGAATCCCTCGGTATGGAAGTGTGTACTTGAACTCTGTGGAAACGGAGCGATCAATAACCGAGAAGTAGTCAAAATAAGAACTAGACGAGATGTCCCTGAACATGGACAATGGAACGAAAACTATCTACTCCTGTAAATTAAATAAAATGTTCAATTCAAAACACCCCGAAAGTCGACAATCACCTGATGAAAGCCGGGGAGCATAACGGCCGAAACGTTATGATAACAACAATAAAGATAGTGATAATAGCCCGCGTGTACATATTTAAGTTAATCTTTTTGAGTATATTCCAGTTTTACAATCTATTGTTAAGTTTGTTTTTTATGATCGAAGTTCAAAAAATGACGAGTATAATTGGATGACCTCTGAAAAGATATTTCTAATTCAGAAATTTCAGTCTTAATTTCTCTTGTCTGTGAGAGTTTATTTGAAATTAAGGTAGAAATTCGATTCTAAATAATTCCGTTCAGAAAAGAAAATGGTAATATAGAAATAGCATCGTATAATTCTGCTTGTTCCTTTGTTATCACGTACGTTACGCCTTACAATAGTTTGCCAGTACACACATTTAGCTTTCCAGTCCCCTGCCCACAAATTTAGCTTTCCAGTCCCCTGCCCACAAATTTAGCTTTCCACTCTCCTGTCCTTAAATTCTTGGTATAGTAGTAACGGACAGAGTAAATCTCTTAATGCTTTTTGATAACCTCCGACAAAAATCATTCTGGGTGCGTTGAAGCTGTATGTATGTATTTCTAGAAAGAAAGAAAGAAATAAAGAAAGAGAAGACGGAGGAAGCGATAATGCTCTCATGCATTTAAGGTCTGCTTCAGTGAAATGATATAATAATATGAAATATGTCAGTTTGAAAGATACGGCGATATGCCGTCTATCACTTCCTGTGTATTTAATGCCTGCTTAGAGTTTATCTTCCCGTAAAATGTTAAAGGATTATGTCAAGTGTCAATCTGTCAACCGTAGAATTTCTATGGGTCCAACTAGTAAATTTCATTTTGGTAGCTTCTAATTGTACAATAACAGCTAAAAGTGGCAGTACTGTTATAGATAGTTTTTACGAACTTCGTGGACTGGCGCTACAGAATCACAAAATCTGTACCAAATAACAAAAAACAATTTCACGTGAGAACTTTCAACATCAGCAGCAGCTAAAATGGATAGCAAATGCATATCGAAAAGGAAATAATGGTATAATTAAGACGTTAATGTTCCACGCTACTACAACAAAACATTACGAATGAACTCCGCTTCTAAGATGGAAAGAGCTATAACAGTTAGTGGACATAAGAAACCTATTTTCTAGGAAAAATATTTTAATAGAAAAAAAAATTATAAATTTCAACCGACAGTAGAACTGGCTGTTCGGTCAATGAATACCGAATGTTTCCTTATATGGAACCAGTTACACTATTTACATTATTCGGACTATTGTCCTCATCTTTGTCACCATATTTATTACAACTTTTCGGCCCTTCAGTATCTGTCTCTCTATTTCTGAGATGAGGTATTATGTACACCATTTACATTATTCGGACTATTGTCCTCATCTTTGTTGCCATATTTATCACAACGTTTCGACATTCCAACCACCTGAAGAAGGCTGGAGCGTACAACGACCGAAACGTTGTGATAAATATGGCAACAAAGATAAGGACAATAATCTGAATAATGTAAATAATGTACATCATACCTCATCTTAGAAATATAGATAGGAACGTAATAGCATTAGTCTTACGGTCATTCAGTCTACAGAATTATTCTCCGTGTCACTGGTATTAGACTGTTATAGTTGGGAAGGAGTTAAAATGTAATGGTTATGTTACTTTTGTAGTTGTCCGCATCAACGTTTAAACGTTCTGGCTTTGTCGGTGTCAAAAATAACAAGAAATTAGAACGCTGCGTCCTTTAGGGCTTGTCCTTTTAAATGGGACTTTTTTTTTTCTATATTTTTATCAGTGTAAAGATATTTGTTCTCGTTTTGCATCGGATGCTATGGAATGTCTTTTCTCTAAAGGTATTAACACATCTGCTGATTTGTCCAATTGAGTAGGGACCAGGTAGTTTTGTGAAGCGATCACAAGAAGAATAGTTGAAGGTAATACGTGAAGAAATCTTATTTGTATGCCAATAAGATCTGCTACCGATAATAAACCTTGCAAATAAACTGATTGGTAGCCTTTTCGTTTATATTATTTTATGGAGTAAAATCTCATCCTTTTGATCCATAAATGATTGAGATTTGGGCACTTGAACGTGGTGTAATGGTTAACAAGCTTCTCTTGCTAGATTAATTACGACTGAGTAGTGATTTCGATCTTCATTGTGTGTCCTACACTTTCGTCTTAGTGCCACATCTACAGCGGGTGGTGGGGCTGTTTATTTGTGGATTGCTCGGGATGTTCACTTCATGAACACGTTTATAGCCGATTTTAAATGGCCAAAATATGACTTGAAATTCATTTTTATTTAAACAGAAAATCAAATCTTTTCAAACGGTTTTTTTTTAATTAATTCGCAAAGTCGTTAATAAGGAAAAATTAGAAAATCTGTCATAAAATTGCTTTTTTTCCAACGTACATAAAATATATAAAATGCAAATGTATTTAATAAAAAACGCTATTTTCTCTTCGGAATATTTCACTTAAAAATTACACTTGGGGAAAAACGGGCGCGTACACACATACGCACACTCATACATCTCTACACACACACACATCTGCACACACGCGTACACACACACGCATCTGCACACACACGTGCATACACACACACACACGCGCGCACACACACACACACACACACAAAGTTATCGGCGTTGTTGCTGCGCGACTTGCCTATTTTCCTCTAGCAAGAGTTGTTAGTATTCGAACCCTGTGATAATCTTGCATTTCGAATGCTGATTTTCAAGGAAGGCAACATTTTCACTACTGGTCATCTGAATTTGATGTTCATTCAGCCTGTATCTAATTTGAGGACATTAAATAAGTTAGTCTGAAGGCGCCTCGTTAGTGTGTTTCATAACGGCGCCATTCACCTGGCCTTTTACCAGACTTACAATCGAAGTGTAATGATCTACAAATGTATTTTACAATAATTTTTATTTACAAGAGCTGCGGCGTGGAGTGGGGTAGATAAAATGTTAGTGGGGTGGGGAAAGGACGAAAATAGTCTCTGATATTAAACCACGCCCTATTTTAGTTATTTTTTAAAAATCATTAATCATTCCTTTTTTATTACGTTTTTTTTATTCTCATACTTTTCCCTATTAAATTGAAATTCCATTTCTTTTCTTTTCATGCATTTTTTAAAAATCTTTCACAAATATTGCTTTCTCTTTTTTCTTTTTCCTTTTTATTTTTCTCCTCCTTCTTGGACTTTAGCCTCTCTACTTCCTCTTCCTCTTATCTTTATTTCTTATTCCCTCTCTATTTGGTGATACTTTTTAATCTTGGCTCCCCCTTCCTCCGCCCACCACCTGCTTAAAGCTCTACGGTAAGAAAGTCGCCAAGATAGAAGTGGAGGGAATCCAAAAAAGGAAGTGGGCGGAGTTTTGTAAAGAAATAAAAACGCCACGCTAACCCGCATGGATTTCAATCGGTACGAATTGCATCGCGTCTCGTTAATGTCTTTTCGAGAAGAAAGTCTTCTTCTTCGCTTTTGTGATCGGTCGCGTTTTTCTTTTACCCACTGGTTGGACCCTGAAGTTTCTTTGACCCCACCACTAATCACAGCTCCAACGCAACACGTTCTCTTGCCGAAGGGGAGCTAAGGAGAAAATAAAATAAGAGAAGAACTTGCGTAGAGAGGCAGGTGCGTGTACAAGTCTGAAGTAAATAAAACAGAGAAGGTAAGAAAAAAAGCTTATTTTTCCTACAGTAGAGTAAACCTTGATCACTTTTTGTTCAAATCCTTTCAGCTATATCAACAAACTGCTCACATCTATCTATCTATCTATCTATCTATCTATCTATCTATCTATCTATCTATCTATCTCTGTCTGTGCATATCTATCTATCTATCTATCTATCTATCTATCTATCTATGTCTGTGCATATCTATCTATCTATCTATCTATCTATCTATCTATGTCTGTGCATATCTATCTATCTATCTATCTATCTATCTATCTATCTATCTATGTCTGTGCATATCTATCTATCTATCTATGTCTGTGCATATCTATCTATCTATATCTATCTATTTATCTATCTATGTCTGTGCATATCTATCTATCTATCTATCTATCTATCTATCTATCTATCTATCTATCTATCTATCTATCTATCTATGTCTGTGCATATCTATCTATCTATCTCTATCTATCTATGTCTGTGCATATCTATGTCTGCATATCTATCTATCTATCTATCTATGTCTGTGCATATCTATGTCTGCATATCTATCTATCTATCTCTATCTATCTATGTCTGTGCATATCTATGTCTGCATATCTATCTATCTATCTATCTATCTATCTATCTATGTCTGTGCATATCTATGTCTGCATATCTATCTATCTATCTATCTATCTATGTCTGTGCATATCTATGTCTGCATATCTATCTATCTATCTATCTATCTATCTATCTATCTATCTATCTATCTATCTATCTATCTATCTATCTATCTATGTGAGTGTCTATATGTGCGTACGTCAAATCACATGTCTGAAAACCCATTTTTTTCTACCTCATACATGTTTTTGTTCTTGTTTTATTCACTCGGTGACTCGATTCGTTTAGGGTTCGATTTTCTTAGGTTGCAGTATTATTATTGAGAAATAAAAATTCCACTGCACACACATGTGTACACACTCATATACAGAGAGGCGGGCACATAGGCATACAAACACACCTCTATAGAAACAAGGAGACACACGCGCGTAGAAAGACCTGCACACATACACACAAGTACAGTAACTGATGAATGTGGATCAATAAGTAACCTGACATAGTTATTAGCTGAATATTTGAAATTAGTACTTTTATGAAACCGTGGTCCCAAACCGAATGTAAGTGGTGACGTCATACTCACATTTATTTACCTTTCTTTACATGCGTCATCGAGAGGATAAAGTATTTTGGCCAGAAATAATCTTTTTTTTTTTTTTTCAGTTTTAAGCCCTCCAAATCACGCACACGCACACGCACACACACGCCGGCACGCACAAACCCACACGCACGCACACACACACACACACACACACACATAATTGAAATTCTCATTAAATTTTATAAAAGTTAATAATAGTGTTCAGTTTGCTATGTTAATTCATTATTAAAAATCCCCCTCCCCTACATACCACGAGATTTCTTAAGAAAATGGAAAAAAATAGTAAGAAATTGAAATTTATTTACATGTCACTATTTATTTATCTATTTTTTTTGCATTTTAAGAAAACACGTGGTATGAACCCTTTTTGTTTTGGCTTCCATAGGTATTCAGTTTACATTTTTAATTTACTTGGAAAAACTGTATCCCCCTATTAACTATTCTTGAATTTAATGAAATATTTGTGATCTAGAGGGCTGAATTGATGAACAAAAAAATGGTTTATTTCTGGTTGTACTATTATACAACTCCTACTAAATATTTTTTTTGCCATCTTTATTTGTAAACAAAGGTATGTGTGTGTGTGTGGTGGGGTTATTACTGTGTGCGTAACGTCAACGCACACCATCGCAACATTTCATTTGGGACCGATATTTCATAAAAGTACCAATTATTATTATTATTATTATTATTATTATTTTTGGTCTCAGTGCCTAGAGGGCAAATTCCATCATTTATTTTTTTTAGTTCATCTTTCGCGTTGATTGGAACCATTTTATTTTCATTCCTGTTTGTTTAGTTTACAGATTTAATTTAAAATATTTAATTAAATTTAAATAAAAGTTTTTTCCATTTTAATTTTATTTGTTTTAAATTAAAATAGCTTCGTCGTATATTTCATTTTTCTAATTTTTTTTAACATTTGTCTTCGGATTTAAAGATATTTGAAAGATTGTCTTGCGTCAATTTTTTCTAAGGTAAAGAGACATTGTATGCCTTGAAAATCAGAATTTGAAATGACTTGGGCTTGAACACCGATCGGTGCGAATGTTCGGTGTTCAACTATCGCAAATAATCTCACCCACAATGCATTTCAAAACAATTGTACTTGACAAAACTAAGCTTTGTTTGGCACAAGGCCACTAGTGTTGAGTGTCGGTAATTAAATTATTTTTCCTTGAAATTTATAAACACGAATGAAATAGCGGGTAGAATTGTTCTCTTTATTTTTTAGTCAAACAGAACTGAACTTATTTTGTTTGATTTGCGGGTGTATATACCCGTAAAACGAAGGTCATTGTGGCCACTGAAGTGTCATGCCTCGGAGGGTAAGGGTTGGAAGCGCCCATCTCCTTCCTAAATAACGCGTGAAACTTAGTATTAGGTTACATGTTATCAGCAGCAGGGAAGCTTCTCTGAATCAATTGGACACTGTCAAGTGTCAATCGTGGTGGCAAGACAGTGCCAAGACTTTTGTCACGATGACTGGCGATAAAACCGGGAGGGGGGGCGCTGTCAATACTTTACTAAGAGGTACAAAATGAACAAACTTGGTTCGCAAGTAGTTTTTGTTCTGGATATAAAACTAAAATTGTAAAGCCAAGGAATAAACCTCTACTCCTGTTCAAAAAAGGGGGGGTGAACCGGACGATATTATGGAAGGAGAACAAAATAATTAGTGGAATAAAATTTTAGAGAAGAGAAAAATAGATAAATAAATCACACTGCTGCCCATCTTTTTGAACAGGAGTAGAGGTTTATCCCTTGTTTCCTGTTTAGGATTGGGTTTCCGGTTCCTTTTCATAATCTACTTCCAACGTCTCCACCTGAACTCTGAAACGTTATTAATTAATTAAATCTTGACCTCTTCAAGTCTAGAGTTAAGTGTTACCTTTCCTGCATAGTACGTCACTTCTTGTCCTTTATTGCGTCCATACAACACCACACAGTAACTCTCTACCTTGAGTGGCACTTGGGCTTTGTATTGGGTAAACATTAGTAAAAAAAAAATTACATCGGATAAAAAGGGGGTGCATGAAAGCTGAAGTTAAAAAGAAATTGACACATTCCTGGAGGAAGACAGCGATTTGAATAAAACAGTTTAATTGATGCAATCTCGTCAATGTTTTGACAAGTACACCTCAGGCGTCATTGAACAATGGGATCACCATAAATGACCCATTCTTACGACTTTGTAATTGGTTTCAATAAAATTGTTTATTGTAGTCAGATCTAACACGATAATAGGCGAGGATATCTTATTTAAATTATTAATTATTATTCTGAGGTTTTCTTTGAATTCATTCTTCGCCACCGAAATTTTCAGCACTGCACGTATATTTATCAACTCTATTGAGTTTAGTCAACTGTTTTATTCAAGTCGTTCTCTTCTTCCATGATGGTAGTTGAGCCAAACCTTATTAATATCTTATCAGAATACCCCTGACCATCATGTATTATCAGAGTACCCCAGCCCACCATCATGTGTTATCAGAGTACCCCAGCCCACCATCATGTGTTATCAGAGTACCCTAGCCGACCATTATGTATTATCAGAGTAACCTAACCGACCATTATATATTATCAGAGTACCCTAGCCGACTATCATGTATTATCAGGGTACCCTAGCCGATTATAACTCTTCATAACATGTCTCAGTGCAATAGAAGTTACTTGATCGCATCTCTTCATGTAAATTTTGACAGTTTATAAATGGGTTACTAGGTATTTGTATCAAGAAATGTCCCAAATGAAAATAAATTGATTTTGTAAATCATGGGAAGGGTTCGTTAAGAAAAGAAGTGAATGCCAGTGTTTACTAAAAGGGGAAAAGTTTATATATGCGAAGGGAGAGTTAGATTCATGCCTTTCCCGAAGGCGTTCATATGACGTAATCAGAAGGTATTCCGGCCGAAGTTAACCGACAGGCCACTTACACCCCCCCGTAAGGAAGAATCAGATGAACCGATACTTTACTTGGATCAAAAGTAAATTTTCAATTTATTTCCCATGATGCCTCACAAGAGTCAATCTCCAATCCCCCAAAAGATGCTTCTCCACATCAAGTTTCATGAAATGAAAGATTATCACGTGAACAATGGGTTGAAAAACATTTTTTTTTTTTCATAAAGAAAATTACGTAATTTAGTCGGAAATCTCATCTCCGAATATTTCACCCCCACCTCCACCAAAAAAAACCCCTCCGTCTGATTTTTGATAACATTTTCATCATCATTCTAATATTTTTGGAAAATATCATATTTCGACTCGAGATAGGGATTCTGAATTAATGGAAATGATTTTCTGTTGAATGTTTTTAAACAAATAATAAATAAATTAGTTTTATTGAATTTGAGTAAAACGAAAAATCTCAAGCAGACCCAGCAAAAAAAAACAAAAAAAAAAAAAGTTTTTAAAATTTACATTTAACGGCACCCCACACTGTAAATGTAATTGAATTTAGAATGATGATAACACAACGGACCTATTTATTTATTCAGCATCTTGACTAAATGAATGGCGGAACAAGGTTTAGGAGAGATGACAAAAAAACAAGATATATTAAAAGAGCTATAAAGGACAGGAAATTGTGGAGAGCCATGATCGCCAACGTCCTGAAGGGAAACGGCATGTAGAAGAAGAAGAATGAGCTTGAGTAAATGGATGGCGGAACAAGGTTTAGGGGAGATAACAAAAAGATAGGAAATTGTGAAGAGCCATGATCGCCAACGCATATAGAAAAATGACATACAAATAAGAAGAATGATAACTTGCCTCCAAAATTAACCCTAAATCTAGAACCCCACCCAAACCCCAAGTCCCCAAGATTAACTGCATTTTCTGAAAAGTAAAAATCTTGGGCTTTAGTGTCGTATAACGGGCCCACTGTCCTGGAAAACGAGTAAAACATGACTAAAGGAATTGATAAACACACATACAAATGCAATGCTGATAATTACAGTGGCGTAAAATGAAATAAAGAAAACCTAAGAATAAAAACTAACAATTTAAATATGATATCTTTGCCTAGTATTTTGCTAAATCCGCCTTCAAAAAGCAATTCTATTATATTCAAAGAAATTACAATTAATGGTAGATAAAGCAGGAAAAATAGTTCAATTATGGTGATCGGATTGTTCAATAAGACCTGAAACTTGTCAAAATATTGTGACAAGATTACATCACCATATTTAAATGACTTAGGCTTAATTCTAGTTTGTCAACTGTTTTATTAAAGCCGTTGTCTTCCTCTAGGACCGTATGATCGATAAACGGTAGTCAAGCCAAACAAATGTTTTTTCAAAACTCGAAATATATATATATTTTTTTAATTCTTTTTTTAACTTTTCGAGTGTAGTGGCCCGGAATGTGTTTTTTTATTTTATTTTGGTGGTCTTCAGAGGGAGTTAGTGTTAAAAACAATCAAACCTATTTTGTATAGAGAGGACAGAGAAACTGCGTGCCGATGGGCACTTTTGCCTCGTTTTGAAAATTACTCTGTAATTCATTTTTAATTCACTCAATTCAACATTCGTGTTTTTCAAGTAACTCGATTTTGAAACCAAATAAAATTTTGTAAAATAACCCAACGACATAATTATTTTGTAACGGCTTTCGTTCCCCTTGATAAATCCAAAGCATTGATTTCGTCGCTGCAACTCGGGATGTGGGGTTGAGAAAATGATAGCGAGTAAGTAAGTCATGAAGCAGACAAGTGTCAACCAA